CTGATTAAAATCACCTACTCATTATCAATGATTGATAATGCAAAAAAAAAAAAAAAAAAAAAAAAAGTAAATAAAATCAGATGCATGTAAGACAATGAAGTAATGTCATCATGGTCCATTCTCTGGGGTTTGCCTGCTGTGCTGCCTCTGAATCCAGTTCTAAGCATCCTTCAGCCTCCAGGCAGCTGGATCTCATGAGTGCCAGGGTTTGAAACCACCCTCTGCAGGGCAGAGAGGTCAAGGAATGCTCTGCTAATCCAAGCTTGATGAGCAGAGGAGGAAATGGTGATGGAGGAGTGGGCATGTCAGAAAGAGTCGAGTTTGATAGGTGGCCAAGCTCTGAAGTTGAAATGGACTTTGGATAGAGTAGCATAGAAACATATCAGTAAAACTGAATTTGTTGTGAAAGGTCATTTTCTGGAAGCCAGAAGGCTGCATGTGAGTGGACAATTTGTGTGGAGATTCAGAACTTTATAGAGACAAAGCAAATGTCAAATGTGCCAAAATGGGGATTTATTGTGTTTGCAGAGAAACTTTTGTTCTATAATTTAAGAAAGGGGGAAAAAAAATCAATATCAAAACATGGCACTTTGTCTGATCTTTGTTCCCCCCTCCCAAGGCCCTGATGTTTCAATCTGCAGAAATAATCAGAAACCCCCTGAACTTCATGCATTCATGGAACAGGCCAAGACCTTTCCCACAAAGCACTGTGAAGAAGCTTACCCAACAAAAGGTTTTGCTTTCAGCTTTTTTTTTTTTTTTTCCTCTCCAGACCTGAAATACTCAGTGACCCATGCTGATCCTGCAGCATTTGACCTTGCACAGGGACACCTTTAATCCCAGCATTATGCCCAAGATTGCCTTCAAAGTGAATTGTGTTTTGTTGTTGTTGTCGTTTCGTTTGCTTTAACTTATTTAAAATATGCTTTTTATCTTGCCCAGTGGTTTCATGCTCTGGAGGAGGAATCCATGGAGTTTGAGTTCCCTGTGCTGGGGCAGGGTGGAGAAGTGATTTACTTGTCAGAGCAAGCAGACATTTGTCATCTGGAGGGGTGCCAGCACAGGCTTCAGTGTATTTACAGCACCATAAGGATTGAATTTTGCTTCTGACATTGGCCCGTTGGCTTTTGTCCTTTGGGTGGCCTTGCTTGCATGGGGAGGAAGTAGCAGGAAAACTGCAGTGAGGCCAGGGTTGGTCTGCCATGGGGCAAACTCAGCCTGCTGCAAGGGAAGAGGACTGAGCACATATCCAGAACTCAATGTCCAGTGCTAGATGGAAATTAAAGAGTATTTGTTTAAGTTTGGGACCTGCTTTCCTTCTCCACGGCTCTCTAGAGAATAAATGAGATGGATTTTCATCTCAGACTGAAGCCAACCAATGACTGTGTTACGTCTCATAACATGTTAATGCTATGAGACTTAACACGAGCTTCTGCCCTCTTTCCTCCTGCCTTTCCTTCCCCTAGCATCCTAGGCTGAATTTCTCATTGCCACATAAATACAGAATATACAACTCAAAATTGTGACTCAGAACATACGTACATCTCAAAGCACAGTTGATACCACAAATAACTCAGAGTGTTTTCGGGGCTATGTGGGTGTTGTCACAGCCCTTTAATATGGATGGATGTACAGCACAATATCTCACCTCCTTTTTTATTATATGTTATATTTGTATTTTATTAATTATTTCAACCAGTGTATTTGTTTTATAGACAGAGACGTGAATCAGACTCATTTTATGAGTCCCACTGACCCAGCCATGGAACTGGCAGAGTGCAGATGGAGCCCTGTTGAGGTAAGTTCTACTCCACACAGATGCAAGGGTCAGTCATGAGCTACAGCTTCAGGTCTGGGGTTGTAAAAAAATCCCAGGTTCCTGGGAACTCAAACATAAGGGTGATACTGAATCTGAAATTCACATCAGGTGGAAAAAAATAATGATGGAGAAACATTTTCCCCATCAGAAAGTGCTTTCAAATAACTAACATATGTCTTACTCGGGCAAAAATCCTGTGGACACAGGCTGGGCCTCATCCTGAATAAAACACGACAGGATCCGAACTGAGAACTGAGCATACAGTGGTACGTCTGTTGTAACACATCAGTGCAAATCTTATATATCCTCTAAGCTTAACAAGTGCCATGACTTAAAAAGATAAATTGCATCTCTTTAAATTAAGCAAATGATCCTAGCTGGCTCATGAAACCCAAATATTTGTCTGAAAATAAAGACAATCATTTTGCACAAATTCAGCTGTTGGAAATATAATATTTACAGGATGGAGTACTGTTTTTCTAGGCTCTCATAGCACAGAGCTAAAAAAGTAACACAAGTTTTGGTCAGGATTCCCTTGCCCTCATGTGATTCTTCTTTTAGACATGGGAGCATGGGGGTCCTCAAACAAAAACGAATAGGGATTTAAAAGTCAGATTCCATGTAGATGACTCATATATCCCTATTCAAGCATCTCAGAACTTTATAGGCCAAGATCTCTCCAGGACATACAGAACAAAAATTCCACATCAAGCCATGTCTTCCTGAAAGATTTCTGAATCCTGTTTATAAGCCTCCAAGTGACAGAAAAGCTTTGCTCAAAAGCACACTCCAATTTTCTAGTTCAAAGTTGTGCGGTACCCCAACTTGTTCCAGCATCTCCTCAGTCCTTCCTCTGCTAAGTAAAGCAGCCTCCGTCCGTCACACATCCCTCCCCCATGCAGATACTCATAGGCCATGATCTAGTCACTCCTTAACGGCTTTTGTAGATCTAGACTGAGCCTCTCTTAACTCTCACCATAAAGCCTGTTTCCGGAGCTAATGCAATTCTTGTTACTGTTATTCCAGGAAGGGTTTTGCTAATGCAGTATGTAAAAATAATACAACCTATCTTCCTGTGCTTGATATTCCTCTGCTTGCATGCACAAGGATTGCATTTGTTGCTTTATTTACAGCATCACACCATTTATATTCAGTGGGCTGTGTACAATCATTCCCCAGTTCTTGACAACATCACTGTTTGGCAGAAGACATTTGTTTGCCTATTGTTTATATTTGACGTACATTCCTCCTTACTGGCCACATGACTTTGCATTTGACCTCACTGCTTGAGCAGGACCTTTCTATCAAACAACCCAAGTCAGACAGCACAACTGGCTCCTGATCTTCATTAATTCCAATTATATCCACTTTGTGATCATTGTCACTTCTTACCTGAAGATACTATATATTTTATTACGAGAGATTGATAAAGATATGAAAAATACTGTGCCAAAAAATAAAAAATAAGAACAAAAATAAATCATTGGGAATCTGAAAATATCCACTGTGTGCTGTTATTTCACTGACCATTATTTTCTAAAATAAGTGTTGTTACTACCATTTAGTCCAGTGAATATGGGTCACATTGATATTTTTAGTATTACTTTTCTTAATCACAGTGTCACCTAGGACTAAATAGTGTGGATTTCAAAATCCGTTTTAACAACAGTTACTTCTATTGAACCAAGTCTCTATAATTTCATTTAATTATGTCTTGATTTTTAAATAGTTCCTCTTCTTCCTTTTTGTTTGCAATTGTTTTTAGATTAGGGAATATATTTTTTTTGAAGTTTTCATTTTATTATTGTCCAGTAACACAGTCTGCTTGCACTTACAAAATGAAATTACAGCGTGATCTTTTCCATCTAGAAAGCTATTATTTTCTAGGCTGCTGACCATCTCATTATGATCTACAAAAACAAAGCCTGACGCAGAAATACCCCAACCTGATTTCAATTATTTTTCTTCTTAGAAATCCATGTACAGCTTATAGAAACCCTAGGGATGCTTCCCCAGCACTATCAAGAGACCTTCGGCATCTGCTCCCTCATCAGACATCAAGGATGGTTTCTCTCTCTGTACTCCAGAAAGGTATGTTAGAGGAGATGATCTTTCTGCTCCCATTTCGTTTGGTGGTTGGTAGTGGACACTTCACAGTAAACAGGACCCCCTTCTCCAGGTAAGTTGCTGCTTGTATACGGATCTCAAGGCATTTGAAGCTTTGTCTTAGTGGTCAGTATTTATGTCATGTCAGACTGCCTTTGACAGAGACTGCCCTTCCTCCTTCTCTCCCTCTTTCCCTCCCTCCCTCCTGTCTTGCCTGAACAGGCTGTAGCAGTGGTTTTAGCATCTCCATCATTTTGATCTCGTGGATGCTCAGTAATATCAATCATCTCACATGAAGGTTTCCAATTTCTTTGACTCATTATCAGCTGAAAAGCTGGGTAGTCTAATATTTCAAATAACTGCCTGTGATTTTCTTCACTTCCAGCAAACCTGGCTTTAGCTGCTTGGCCCAGTCCCTCCCTCCTCAGCCAGGGAGGAAATAAAAGTGCTGCAGAGACCGCAGACTTGCAGACCCTACGGATGAGCGGCAGCGTATAAACACAGCCAAGAGTCCTTGCCAGAACCGAACCCGCGGGTTTTGTGGGGGCAGAGCACTTCAAGGGGAATGAAAACAGGGAACTCTCGCAGCTTACTTGAAACGCAAATACAACCCAAGCCTGGATTTCAGCCTTTCTCCCATGATACAGAAATCAGCCTCCTCGCCTCCTCTCCCCGTCGTGGGGCCGTTTTCCGCGGTGGCCTCCTCGTTGATTGCGAGGCCAGCACCGCGCCACCACCTCCTCTCTCGGCGACTTCATCATCATCCCCCTCGTACAGCGCCCGGCCGGCCGGGCCCCGAGCCCCCCGCCATGAGGTGCCGCCGCTCTTCCAGAACCACCCGCCGCGGACAGCGCCCGGTCGCTGCGCCCCCGGAGCCGCCCCGGCCCTGCGGTGCCACCGCCCCCGCCCGCGGCGCCTTCAGCACCACCAAGCGCGGACAGCGCCCGGCCAGGGGGCCCCGGAGCCGGCCCGGTCAGACGTGCTACCCCCGGTACCTCCATCGGAGCTCCTCCGGACCCCCAGGGAAATCCCCAGCCCCTCCCCGACCCCCTACCGCTGTCCCGGCGGGACTCACCGAACATCTGGATGTGGCCCTTGGTGATGGGATTGAAGGTGCCGCAGGACAGCAGGATAACGTGGGTCTTGGTGGTCTCCGTCATGGTCCCGGCCCGGCCCAGCCCCAGCCGCTTTTTGTGTCTCGGTGCGGCTGCGGCGGCGGGAGGGAGGGAGGGAGGGAGGGAGGGAGCGGGGCCGGGGCGGGAGAGGAGGCGGGGCCGTGGCTGCAGGAGCGGGGATGGAGCCGAGACCTCCCCTCGCCCCCGCCCGGGGCTGGCGCGGGCAGCCTGGGGTACACAGAGCTCGCCGCCGGCACGGGGGCACGCGAGGGTCCAAGTTGGCTTGCACACGCACACATAACACGGGGATACAAGTGGACATGCATTGCATCAGCTGCCCAAAGAATGGGGCCAGTGGGCAGCACCCCCTGCATGCACCTGCACAAACTCGGTGTTTGGGTGCAGCAACACAGAGTGCCTCCATGGTCTTGCTCAAAGGCCTTGGAAATCCCAGCCCTTTTCTAGGGCTCCAAGGAGAAAACACCCTGGCAGGCACCAAGCACCTCCCTTTCACCAGCTGAAGGAAGTGAAATTTCCATAGCTGAGCCAAAAAATAGTCTTTACTGCAAGGTAAACTAGTACGAAACTGACTGTTTTCATTTCTCATTTGAGTTCCTCAAGACAGAGCTGTGGGCAGTTGCCTTCAGCCACCTCCCAGAGGCTGCTTTCAGCTGCTGCCTCTCCCCATTTCCCAAACAAAGCCTTTTTCTCCCAGCAGGGAGTTATTAGCTTCCACCTAGTTTTCCTTTCCCTTCCTCTATCTGTTAAATCCATTGACCTCTTCTGTCATACCCCTGAGTAGCATGCAAGGCAGCACTCCAGGGGAAGAAGCCCAAGAAGTCCTTGAGTTGCTCAGAGAACCCCTAAATCCTTCGGGTACACATCTGGATTAGGTCAGCCATTAGGTTAAGTGCACATGGTGGCCCCTAAGTCACATTAAAAGCAAGAATGCCCTGAAAATAATGGCATCACATTTGCAAGAAAGGCCAGGGAAGCAGAGCCACCTTTTTCCATTGGTTGTGTGGGGAGAACAGTGATAAAAAAATAAAATAAAATAAATGAAGAAATAACATCATCAGGAAAGACGTGGTGCACTTATAGGTTGTCTCAGCAGTGGTGCTGTCCCTTCTCACTAGCTCTGTAAGGACATCTGATGTTTCAGAGAAAGGGGTGAGATATGGAGGTTTGTGCTGGGCTTTTCTTTGTGCTACACCTCCTTGCTTGCCTCAGAAGGGAGTCACTGCTTCAGAACATGCAGTGTCTCTGCAGTAGCTCTGCCTTTAAAACTACAGCCTTTAATTAGCATTTATCAGCCTCAGGGTGACAGCAGAAAAAGAGGGCATTCCTCAAGCCTCTTTTGGTCATACTTGTGTGCTCATGCGTGTGTGTTCTTGTGCATCTGTCTTCATAAAAGTTGTTCTCTTTTTTTGGTTAAAAGTTAGCCAACAGCTTCAGAAGTTATCTGCGGAGACTGAGGGACAGACACCTCTTCTTCAGGCTGAGGAATGGCATCGTGACCTCTCTTTGCTGTGAGCTCTTCTGCACTGAAGTACTGATGAAACATCAGTGCCTTGTTTGTTTGTTTGTTTGTTTGAGTGGGTCTTTCCCCCCCCCCCCCCCCCCCAAAACTGATTTAGTGCTACGTTGATTTTTTCCCTTAACGTTTAACAAGTGCTTGGATGTGGCAACCTCACACACTCAGTTCCTTCTGGATGAGAACGTGACTTCTGGATGAAGCACTGGAGGGGCACTGGGTGACCTGAATTCACAAGTTTTTGGCACTGAACTAGGAGGTTGCTCTGCACAAGCTGTTTTCCACATTGCTCTCATTCTGTTGTGCATCCTCTCATAGGAAATAAGCTGAAGCACAGGCAAGGCACTTGTAAAGCAATTGTTTGTTAATCCTAACTCTTCTGCCACTATGTTTACGTAGGAAATGCTTGTGTAGAGATCTTATCCCTATAACCTTCCATAGGAGGCACAACCTGCACCTGCAGGAGCACCAGGTGCTGCTGTTAGGTATATAAATGGAGAAAGTGAAAAAATGTGCTCCTCTGAGGAGAGCAGGGTGGATGAGTGCTGGGTGGATGAGTGCTGGGTGGATGACAGATGCTGTACATCGGCTGTCACTTAGCAACGCTGCCGGTGCGGGAAGCGGGTGCTGTGATGCTGGCAAGCCATTGTGGTGGTCAGAGAGCCAGTGGCACAGCTTACCTGTACCCAGGGTGTACACGAGGAGACTCATTCTTCCAATATAGAATATATTGGCTTGGTAGGAGGTGGAGTGGGGGATGTTATTTCATATTTTTTCCCACTGTCTTCCATCTGAGCACTTCTAGGGCATCCAGCTGACTTTTGAAGATAACTCCTCAGGAAGGTCAGCCTGGGAAAAGATTTCTCTCTTGCATCTATTCAGAAGCTGAGCACTGGCCACAGATGCAACCAGCTCCACTGGCATTTTAGCATCTGTAATTCTGTCTGAGGTTAAACAGCTCAGCCATGCAGAATCAGTCTGTGTGGTTATGGTCTGAGCTGGGCTATGGTGGGGGTGGGAGATGGAGATACTCGGTGTGACTCCCCACAAATGGCTTTTATTTCCTTCCTTTCCAAGCTGGATTTGGCTTTTATTTGCTGTGAAAGGGTATATCTTTCCAGAATGCACAGCACATGTTCTTAGAGAATTACAAGTAAATCCATTAGATACTTTATGAATTATAAGGATTAAAAAGGATTTATTTAAGAAAAGCAGCATTTTGACTTTTTTTTTTTTCTTTTTTTTTTCTTTTTTTTTCCCTCCTGTCCAGAATAGAAACAGGATGTCCAGAGAGGCTGTGGACATCCCATCTCTGGAAGCATCCAAGGCCAGATGGATGGGATTCAGGGCAGCCTGGTCTAGATGATCTTTAAAATCCCTTCTAGCCTAAGCCATTGTATGAAAGGGAATAATGAAGACTTTACACACCTTCATAGACTTAAAAATTCTGAAGTTTTATGTATAGACTCTATTTGGAACAGTGATATTGTAATTAGGAAAAGATGAGTCACTAACAATTAAAACCCATGTCAGAATACCTGACACAACAACAAATACATTATAACTAATTGCTGAGAGGGACAAATGCAAGGCAAAATAAGACAGCTTACGTATCTTTACACTCGTTTCTTCCTTCAGGTTCTTCAGTTGCTTCAAGTGCTAATTTCCTGCATTCATAATATTTAGATTCTTACAACCATTACATTGATAGATGATCTGAGGTTTTATCATTCAGCTGTTGTGCACTGTACTCTCTGCTTTCCTTGATCCTTGTTTCCACACAGAGCAGCAGACAAACATGACGTTTCAGACATCCACAAGTCAAGGTCTGATACTTGAGATGAACAGTCAACCAGTGGCCACATCATACATGAAAATGGGAGAGTCCACATGCCCAAAGGGAGACTTTGTATTCCACAACGCTTCCAGGGTGGACAATTAAAGAGGTTAGAGTTAATGAAGCAGGGTGGGATCAGGCTTTGGTTTGCATCCAACTCTCTGTTCTCATATTACCTCGAGGAAACCTCTCAGGTTTCTCTGACTGCCTGTTAAATGGGAATGGCTGCTCACTCTTAGAGCAGTTTATAGCAGTGCTCTGAGGATAAATGCATCAGAGGTCTTTGAAACACTGAGCCCCAGTGATAAGAGAGGCTGCTGGTGGATTCACATTTGGGATCGTGACTCTTACACTGGGGAGAAGCTTCGCTCCCGGGCATTTTGGCTGCCAAGGTACATTGCTATTTGCTGAGTCCTCAGGCTCTCCAGTCAACCATGCTCATCTGGGGATCAAATCCTTCCCAATGTCATGTGATTCATAAAATGCTAGGCCACGATTATTGGCTCGTTAACAATAAAAATGTTGATATGCATTGGCTTCTGTGAGAAATCTGCTTCTTTAAAGATAAAACTCATATCACAAATCTCTTAGAGTAAAACTAAGGAGAAAGACTTTTGACTCCCCCTTAAAAAAAAAGGAGATTATGCCCTTTGCTTTGTGCACCCAAATAGCTTGGAGTAGAGATTAATAAGAAAAACCAGGTCTGCTTGCTCCCTGATACAATGATTGGGGATCAGTTTTGCCCCATACAGCTCCCTCAGGTCTTTTGGGGCAGCTCTTGAACAGATTCAACTTGGACAAGATTTAACAAGACAGCCGCTGAGTCAACACTGCCCACTCCTTGCTTCTCCCAGTGCACCTTGAGGGAATGCATTGCAGCCTCCTGGTTGAGACCCACATGCTCTGGTGAAGGAGATGTTGCAGAAAGCCAGAGGTTGCCACCCAGGGTGTTCTACCTAGCTGAGAAGTCTCAAATTAAGCTTCTGTCTTTGAATCCACATGCAAAAACATAGTTCAGGGTGAAGCAGCTCCAAAAACTCCTTTTTGCACAGATACATACTTTCTGCTTAGAAGCATGCACACAGTCACAATCAGCTGCTCCAGTAACACTGGGTAAGGCCCAGGACAGTGATAAAGCCTGCTGGAAAAAAAGAAAAAAAGAAAAAAAAAAAATTCAAATTGACCTTGCAGCCACCTTTTATTTTAAATAATAAATATAGGTAGTAGCAAAGCATTGCTGCCATGGGGGATGCAAAGCAGAGGATGTGTCTTAGTGCCATTGCATTTTGGTGGCTGGAGTACAGTTGTACCTTATAGTTTCATCCTGCTTGGAAGGCAGCTCCTGGCAAAGAGATCCTCCCTGGCAAAAGAGGTGGAAAAGATTGTTTGGCCAAGGGTTAAGAAGGGAGGGGGGCACAGCCCCTGGTGTAAGTGAAGTGAGTGAGTTAGTGGGAATGGATGATCGCAGCTCAGCTCCTTGGGAGCAGCGAGGCTCACAGAGAGACTGCCAAGCTAGAACCATAAAATCACAGCATCAAAACATGCAAGGTTTAGGCTTTTGCTGCTGAAGGTGATTTAAGCCGTTCCGATGGCACCTCTCTGGTGCTGTGGGTTGCGGCATACGAGAAGGATGAGATCAAACAGTGGGAGCCAGGGGCAACGTGAAGCACCAAGTGCTCCTGCTCGCAAAGCCCTGGCTGTACCAACTC